ATTTCTTAATACAACGCATTTAAAACTCTCAGTGCTTTTTACAAATGGAAGAAAAAATATATACACCTACTTGCAAGAACGTTGTCATAGAACATTAGAACATTAGAACATTAGTGATTTAGTGGGATAGGAATTGTATTAAAAAACAAAAGAAGATCACTGAAGCTGAACTTTTTCTTTTGTCTTTTAATGTATACCTTTCTCACTAAATTACTAATGTTCTAATATCTTATGACAACGTTCTTGCAAAATACATTGTCAATATTAAGCTATAAAAACGTGAAAAAGAGTGGGGGGGGGGGGACGTAGCCAAAGAATGAAATAAAAATGTCTTAAGTTTGTTCTTGAAAATGTCATGAAAGTGTCAGATGCTGATATCTTTATGTTCAGCGGGATTCCGTTCCACATCTTGGGAGCGCATATAGAAAAGGATCTACTGCCAAAAGTTGATGTTTTTGAAGCAGGAATAGCTAAAAGATATTTATCGTTGGACCTGCTCTCGTTCCTCCTTTTGCATTCTTCCCTTCTCTTTTTCTTCCCGCCGATTTTCTTTTTTCCCTGTTCTGTTCTGAGAATACGTGATGTTTATAGTAAATAAAAAAAGTTGTTTTAAAAAAACTTTGTAAACACATTTGAGTGGGCGTCAAAAATAGAGATACGAAATTTCAGAATACAAATAAGAGTGGCGCAATGAAAACCACAGTAATGGTGTTAAGTAAATAATTCTATCTCTTAAAAGAATCTTTTGACTCTTATTTTCAAGCGCACACTTAAAACTCGAAAATCGTCTTCAAAAACGTGTTGAAGTCACACACCACCCGCTATTTTAGAGCGAACAACACGCTAAGAGTTTACTTAGCCTATATTTTTCAGTTACGGATTTTAATCACCTCAACACGAAAATATTAAATGAAAATTAGAATTTCCGAAGCGAAAGGCGTCATGTACTAGCTACTAATCAATTCTGATGGAATTAATAAATGCGTTTTAAAAATCTATAGGGTTTTCTGCTCGTGCGTTTAGCAATAATAACAAAAAAAAAAAAAAAAGCTTCAAGGTGGGGGGTACTCCGCCAGAATTTGGGTAGGGGTGTTCCGCTGGGATTTTGAAAGGAGTACCCTGTTTATGACAAAAAAGCTCAAATTTGTAGACCCTGTTTATGACAAAAGATACAATTAATTGCACTGAGTTCCTGTTTCAATTATCATGTCATCTCGCGTATCGTTTTTTCTTTACGACCCTAATAACCAGTTCCGGTCAATATGAAAGTAGAAACCCTGAATATGACAACAAACTCAGGAAGAACTTGGACCTTGAGTGAAATTGCATACCCTGTTTATGACAAGAAGCTCGAGAAACCATACCCTGTTCAGCGGATCATCCCTGTATAGTCCATATATGGGAGTACCCCCCCCCCCTCCCCCGGGATCCAAAGTTTTGCACGTCAAGGAAATAATGCTTCAAAGATTAAGCGAAACACACGGTGAAAGAATGCGCGCAATGTTGAGGCAATTGATGCCGGTTGCGAGACATGCCACATGCTGAAGCCGTAAAAAAAAAAAAAAAACCATCCTATCCTTCAGCAACATCTTTGACTGAATGTAATATGACACACAATGTAGTACCGATGTGTTTCGTGCCTATTTCGTACTGAAAAAGCTAAAGTG